CACCAAATCTTTAATAACTTGAGCTTGCCTTAGGGGCATTCATCCATATAATCTTTAAAGTAAAGTATCAAATTGATTAAGTATTATATCCTTGAGATAATTGAATTGTCAAGTTTCACTGGGCAACAGGGTAGCCACACTCTAACTTCGGATGATTAATGGAACAATATGATAAATTAAAAAATGAACTCAAAATAATTTAAGAGATCTTCAAAGTAGTTCAGGGTCATACTCCGAGCATTTTGAAATCTTTTGGATATTTTGAAGGATAGATTGAACTTGTCATATGTTGTTCTAGAATCATCCATTAAAGAACTTCGGAGACTCGATAGAATCATACTTTGGGGTTGGATAATTATTCCTTCATCTACTCCAGCAATTTAATTTCTTTGCGAAATTATATACATGTCTTGTAAGTATTAATCTTTCAGGTGGAGGGACGAGAATAATCGATAGGTACACATTTTAAATTACTATGTTTACCTTTCTGTACTTCTTGTTTTAAACTTGCAAGTTAAACAACGATGTCACCCTGCATGAAAACCAAAACTGCTAGGATAGCCACAAAACCAAAACAAAAATTTTAAAAAAATCAAACAAGATAAAATTCACCGACAACTCAAAACTTAATCACAAACATCACAAAACAAAAACTGCAACTAAATTAAGATGTCTCTATCGGATGATCGGGAATCCCTCGGAGGAGGTAGCCTACGGTTGCTAACAAGATTTCTCACAATCTAAATGAAAGTATGGAACTCATTAGGTTGAGTTTAATAAATTCATTTGGACTAAGTGAATACGAATGAAAATAGTGGTACCGAAACGAGGGAACCGTAGGATCATAATCGGTGTCGCACTAATCAACTTTAATATGCCCCATAATATTTAAATAATCATAACCTTAGGAACATTTGATATGACATCATGACTTGACACACTAGAAAACTTAAACTCACCACGACGAGGAGCATGGAGCTAGTATTGTGGACAGCACGACCAAGTTGAACAGCAAAACATGTCTAAACCAGCTAAATCATTCTTTCCTTATAATTAAACAACAAACCATAGGATTTTGAGGCTGTTCTCCTAGTGCGACATAAATCCTCAATTTATCTTTAGACTTTTGTATAACTCTGCTACACAATACAAGCTCTAACTCGTTTTAGGACTCCGAGGTTGTTGTTTGTCATCACCTAAATCCTCACATCTTCCAAGCTATTTGTGTGACCGTTTCACATGAATGTAAGCTCTAATTTATGATGAAACATTTAAAAAACATTTAAATATTTTTCCTCTAAACTGAAGCCAAATCATCGGGTAGCTTAGGAAGTCACTGAGATTCTCCTCCTGATCCATGACATCCCCTAGTCTCTCCTCCTTTGAATTCTACAATATGTGTTCCAAATTTGAGTCATTTCCCCTTTCACACCTCTTTGTTCGATCTCGTTGAAAAATCCTAATCCTTTGAATTCCTTGAAGATAATATCCCCTAATGTTTATCAAGAGTTTTCTTAGATGACTTCGGTCATCTAAAATGTAATTAACTATAAGGGCTTGCATTTATAGTAAGCTTTTTCGAACCCAACTTAATATAAATCCTATTTAATTTTTTATATTAAATAAGGAAACTTGTCGACTTATAAATAAAATAGTTTTCGCAGACTAAACGGATGTCATATGTTTCTTAGTTTATTTGATCAAGCCTCACCCTTAAGTCTTGTGTTTATCTTTCGGGACAGATACAGAGGATAAATACGATAAATACGTGACTTGAGGTGTAGTGCTTTTTCATTTAAAATACAAAAAATATGGGATCAGTTTGATTTCATATTTTTCCGGCCTTCCGAAGCGGGCGATGGGGTTTGGATTCCGGTGACCGACAGCTTCTTATGGGCAACTCCACTACCAAACCATCCCCAAAATAACGCCGAAGTGCCGACACAGTCTCATAAATTTTAAAGATACTTCTCATATTAATGATTATATCTATTTTAAAGTAATATTTTTTCCTCTCAGTATAGTATGTTATTCTTCAAACTATGCATGTAATCACTTAGATAAAAAATATTTCAAGATTTGCAGTGGACACGTCATCAACATCAAAACATAAAAATTTCTTCCACCAAACTTTACAATTTTATATATGAAAACATCTATGCAACCATCCAATTTTAAATCATTACAATAATAATTCATACTTTTTAATAAGTTTGACTATTATTTTTCAAAGAAGTACAAATCAATAATAATTTTAGTAAACCTAGTGTGCATGTCAATTAAGATTTTATTAGGTTTCATGCAAAAGGGTTCATTTTATGTACTAATACATTGATATGAAATTGTCATATTTCATTAGTACTTTTATAATTGATCATAATATAATCCTATATATCTTTACTCATTTTATATATGAAAAAAATCATGCAACCATCCAACTTAAAACATGAGAATGATAACTCAAGAATTTTTAAATTAGTTGAGTGAGTTTAGAATCCTCTTATGTGCATTTAGAATAAGGAGTGCTAACAAAATGACACTCAATAATTATTATTAGGCGACCATGACAAGCTTTGGATGCAAAAATCAATTGATTGAACAAAAGTAAGCACACTACTTGCTAAAAACTAATAGGGATGTTATTAAATAAATTATAAAGGGTTAAAATATATTATTCCTCATTATTAGCAAAATGAATCACTGGGATCTACTTTAGTTTGTCAAATTTTAGATTATAAAGAATTTACTCTCATATCTATTAAAGGTAATGACTTAACTAAGAATGAAATGAGTTTGGGTATTAATAAAATTTACTCTTTACATCTAAGTGTTTATTTAATTATAAAATAATGATAATTTGTGAAAATATAAACCTTAATTCTCATTTATTAATAAGGTAAAAATGATGAAATTATAAAGATCTCACTCTTTTCTTTTAATACAAGAAGTTGATGATTACAATTAAGATTTATTCATGAATTAACATGATATTACTGACAGTAAAAAATATTTGACAAAAAAAGACAATAACACAAATCAAGTTATAACAGGTCAATCTATTGCCACCCCTTAAGGTATCCTCCCATAACTTTTACTATATTTTTCTCATATTCGTAGGCAAAGATGTTTCTCAAGGAATTTCTCTTGGATGGGCAATAGAGGCACCAAATGCTTTATTCAAATGAAGACTCACCACTCCTTGCACAACTATTTAGGTCACAAAATCCTCACTGATGGCCTTACACAACCTTCTAGACAATAAAATTTTCAAGAATAATTTGATACCCAAGAATTGTCTTTTATGAGCATAAAAAGAATCTCATAAAACAAGGTTTACAAATAAAGGAGCAATGCGTGTGGAAGAAGAATGACGGTGTGTAAAAAATAATAGTAAAAAAACTCTTTCAATAATTTTTTTTCTTTCATTCTAATTCTCAGTTTAGTGTTCACCATTAAAATTACTTTCATAGCCCCCAATTCTTATGGACTTACTAAACTTTCTTTTTTACACACGTATCAATTTACCTACTGATGAAAATATGAATTTGACTATTAAAATGTGATAATGAGTGTTACTTTTCATATGATGTTTATAATTATGAAAGTTTAGTTATGAGATAATTTAATATGAAAGTTTTGGATGGCTATGTAATTAAAAACCCCTATTCTATTATAATCCATGTCATATTGATTCGTCCATTAGTAGCATATCATATTAATCAATTTTCCAAAATCAAAATCAATCATCAATCAAAGATAATTATAATTCAACCTCAAATCACTAGAAGTTCATACCGTAAGATAACTAATTGTGCAGTTTAACCAGCTCAATTTATAATATGAACTTAAGATTATACTACATGAAATGAATTGATCTAGCTTAAATCGATCTGGATATGTTTAATTGATATACACTTGATTTAATCTAACTCATGTCTTGTCCAAAGATTCATTGACAAATCAAATTAAATCAAATTTGCTTGGTTGGTTCAACTATTTTAATTTGAAATCAATACTAATCATGTCACATATGATCATGCATTATGACTTTTCATATTGATTAATCCTTTGATTAATCAAAGCTGAATCTGTCTATGTGATTGTATGCAATTCATTGCTATTGCACTCCAACTGATATTATATTTGTGATCATCAAAATTAAGTTTGAATTTTAATGCCATTAAATTAATGAATTAGTTGGGGGTAATGTTGAAAAAAGCTTGTTAAATGTTCTAAATTTTGTTTTAATCAGATAATAAACAATATAAGATAATATTTTGATGATTTGAGACAAAATAGATGATCATAGAACTTCAAATCAATGCCAGCATGTTAATAATTAATCGTGAAATAATTAAATAAAAATATTTATAAGAATACCAGCACCTTCAGAGTATGTGAAATGAGTACCTAGATTTGCCAAGAGAAGCAAGAATAGGTATATTTCTATAAAGAAGACTTGAATTTTGTACTTAGAAAAAAAAATGAGGGGAAGATTTACATACATATCATTCAACTCCTATGTATTTACATATCCAACATCTAAGTTTCAATTTTTACATATGTGCCACTTTACCTATGCATAGAAGGTTGCATTCGTTATTCAAAGGTTATCAAAGATTTGGGTGGTATAAATGAAACAAAATAACGAGAAAAATTTGCATACGTAAGACGTACGCAGCGCTGCGTACGTCAGGGAGGTTGTTCAGAGGGTATTGGGGAGTTATATCCACGTTATACCCCCTGTAAACTCTCTGTAACCTACCTGTACTAGTAAGTTCCGCGCTCATGTTTTCATATATTTGTAGGTTACAGGTAGGTTACAGGGAGGTTACAGGGAGGTTACAGGGGGTATAATACGGATATAACCCAGCGTTGCGTACGTCTTACGTATGCAAATATTTCTCCAGAATAACGAAGTTCCGAGCTCCTGCCGGTTTTTATGCAGCTGCAGTTGAAGTAATTATGAAGGAAAAACTACCTATAAATAATAACCGGGATAGAAAAGGAAGAAAGCGTAACAAACGAGTATCTGTAAAAAGCACGTTTGATTTACAATCAAGCATTCAAGCCAATGCACATGACTAATTTGTTCTATGTTACACTTCATTAGGATCATTATACAGCATAAAACAAGGAAGTCATAACTTGGTTGCATTTGCTTCCATTTGGCATGAAACAGATTCGGAATTATTCGAAAATCGGTCTCATAAAAAACAAAATATAGCTCTTCGAAATTCCATGACTTATCACAGAAGCTCGATGTGTGGAGCCAGAAACAATTTGGCTATAGGAAAAACAAAGATAAAGCTGCTATTTGATGAGAAAATAAGGAATAACAAAATAAAATTTAGGAAATCTCAGAGGGATAATTTAAAGTTGCATGGAGTGTTATTACCAGATCATGGGCATCATCCAATATCCTCCAAACATCCAGCTTCCCTGACATATTGTTGCACTCCTTCATGATCTCATCCAAGTTGCTATACTTGTCTATGAAAAGTTTCCGCCTCTTTAGCACGCAGCCAGCAATGGCGAAAAGTACAAGATCCTCAGAAGGAGGTGCTCTCAACCTCATCCTACCACAAGCAGACCCTCCAATTCCAGCCCGTATGGCCGCCTGGTCTGCCCACATCACTTCCCATAGGCAAAGAGTTTGCTCAAAGTTGAGCTCTCTCCGGAACAGCACCAGCACCATCCTGTACACAAAGAAGCAGTCTTCAGCCTGGAGCTTCTGAAGGTGCTGGTAAAAAAGTGCATCTTTAGACCGGATTATCCACGACACGATAGCCAGCTGCCTTCTGATACCAAACTCGTCGAGCCTAAAGTTCTGCCGCGCCTTCCTCATGAAACCCACAAAGCACCAGAAGGCCTCATAGTCATCCTCCACTACTACCAATATTGGTGACAAAAGATCACTCATTCCCTGACAGTAGCCTATTTCTGGGTCATAGATAGCATATGCTTCAAGCACTGAAACTAGACGAGAAGCATGGTATATGATACATGGCTCCAGATGATCATAATCCTTCAAAGCCACAGCTTTTGCATAATGGTTAGCAAGCTCTTGTGAGATTCTTGTTTGGGTTGGTGAATAGGTACTCCACTCGGCATCAGCTCTGATAGCATCGAGTCTTATTATACGCTGCCATGTTCTGAAGTCTTCAACATTCCAGTTGGGAGCATTGGGATTTAGAAAAGCACCAGACATGAGTTTTGGATCAGGTTCTACAACAGTTTCTAATATATTGCCAGATAATTCAGAATCATTTTCTACCAGGAATTGATCTAAATAACTGGTTTTGAAATCTTCTTCATCTTTCCTTGCATCCAAATTACGTGGGGAAGAGTCGGGGGTCCTGTCATAGACTGCAAGGTCTTCATTGCCAGTCCATCTTGCAGGAAAAGGCGATTCGGTATAATCTTCAGACCAAGGATTCTCAATCAGATTATGATGCAGTTCATTGCATATTTTATCTTTTGTTAATAAAGAGCTCCTCTGGTGGCGATAATTTGACAAAAAGAGGCACCGTCTCCTTAGCTTCTCATATTCTTTCCTGTGACATGAAAAACAACTCATGATCCCACTCTCCCATGATGGAAAGTTAACAAGTGCCTATAACACTAAATTAATAAAAAAATAATTTGAAATATGACTTAAATATTAATTAAGCCAATAAATTATATTACAATAAATCACATAAAATAATGGCAACCCAAGAAAATATCCACTTGATGTACCATTTGCGCAGTTTGACTGCACTCCTTTCCAATTCAGAACTGTTCAGATCATACCTGCATGACCAGAGCAGTAAAAATAAGAACAAGATACAAACTTTTAAAGCATGTTTTAGTTATAATGCAGATTATTAATAATCAAAAAGATCTTTAAAATATAATGGTTAAGAGTATTCCTCGAAAGGACAAGCTGGACAACAACATCAAAAAACTTAACCAACTTGATCTCCATCAACAGCCCCACCGCAATTGTTTAGAGACATCTGCCAGTTTTACTTTTCTTTTCCCTTTTTTTGGTACAACACAATTTTTATGTATTTACATATCTAACGCCTAAACTTCATACTAAAATGTTTAATATTAACTAAAAAATACCCCAATACTAACTTTTAAAAGTTAAATAAATATGGTCGTACAGATTTATGACACCAAAACTTTATAAATATAAATATCAAACTTGTTGCCCCCCCACACATAGTATCCCAATCTCTAAATGACAAGGAACACCGCTTGCACTAACCTATTGATAGTGAAATATATGTTCTCATACATATATTTGGATGTCAGTTTGGACTAGGACATTATATAATTAATACAAAGATTTGTCTATAAAAGTTGTCAATACATGAGAATTCAATGGTATGCATGTAAATTCCCCAGAGACAAATAAGAAATTGATGAACGCAATATGAATCATACAAATACTAGTTATTATAAACGGTCAAAAGTGATAAAGACTTGCTCTTGGTATCGAGTTCACGTTCTTTGGTAGAAAAAGGAAGTAAGTTCTTATTTTTGGAACTCATCTCCATAATTGGGAGAAGTGAAATTCACTTTTTATGGATTGAAAGTCAAATTTCATCTTGCATTTTACATTTCCAGAAAAAATAAATAAATAATACAATTAATGGACTGAAGAAATAGAGTATTACTTCAGCTTATAATGATAATAAAATTAATGTGAGGGTGAAAAAAATGAAACATAGTAAAGCCCAAATAAGCAGAAGCATTTAGTTTGTAAGAAGTGAGTTCTTACAAAATAAAGGCAGGTCATTACAAGTAACTTCAATGAAGCTCCCCAAATAAACTCAACTTCAATCAATTTCAAATACTTACCTTGAGAACTAAAAAAGCCCTTTGTATGTTCATTTTATGTAGTATCTTTTAAGGCATTTAATTTAATTTTGTAACAATATGCATGCTATGAACTGGTCCACATAATTGTGACAAAAATAAAGAAGGCTTTTGGCTCATCTGTACAATGGCCAAATTCCACAGATTTTTATATCAATAAAACATGGTTTTATATAGGACATACTTTTCGATGCCCCAGTGTCTTCAGGATTCAAGTACAGTGACCTTCAAATGGAGAGAATAAATAAAATCAATGTTGAGGAAACAAGTAACCTGTCTTTCCTAACAGGTTGTGGAACGTGAATACTTATATTGTTTTACATTCATTATTGAAAACAAGTTAGATGTTTACACATTTTAACGCAAATGAAGCCAATGGTTAACACACCATATGGAATTTGCCTTCAACAGAAACTCTCAGACTACATAGACACAAAATCAATACAAAAGTAGGAATAGCCCTGAAAACTCAAAATGATTATTTTCCGAACTTATAATTCTTCCCAGAATTTTCAGACTTCATAGATTAATTACATGATTTTTTTAACTTCCTTTTTAACAATTTATTAGCCCTTCTTATTGATGCTAAAAATTATGATTCTTCTATTATATGTATGTCCCAATTTCATATGGATATATTACTGGATGAAAAGTAAACCACAAAAGAATATATATATATATATATATATATATATATATATGATGTACGAGGTACAAAACTAACACTGGATATTATGAGCGTAGATGTGCGCTGCTAACCTCTGCTTTGCGAACATATCATTTCTGCAATTCAAAAATTTGATTTTAATAATGGATGCAACCTAATTTTTGCGCCAACTAAGTCAATCATGACTTAGTGATTCTCTCACTTAGTTGTTGTTAAATCATTTTAAAATCAAAAACCCAAAACAATTCAAAGCAACCTTAACCCCAAGTCAGAAGAGAATAATCCATCATGCTTCTCTGCATCCTCTAAGCTAATCCCGCCCAGGCAAGCTAAACTAAAATATCTTACACATTTTAAAAAATTAGTGCCAAAATATCTCTCACTTAGTTGTTGTAGCGGTTTCCTTACAATTCTTTTCAATAACTTCCCTTCTCCAACATCACCATCATGGTTTAAACATTAAATAATTTATAATTTGGGTGATAGCATCAACTATTATCTATGATTTGTCAGTAATGTCAACAAAATTTATGAGTCCATTGAATTGATATTAAAGCAGCACGGATAGTGCTAAAAGTTATGTTCTGATATTTAAATAAAATTATGGTTATTAGAAGGACAAATAAAACAGCGTGTGGAGAAGGAGACCAGACTGAATGAAGAAAATAAAACATGATATTCTATACAGACTCCCAAGGAGGTCACCAAAATAACAGATGCAGTGTTCTTGGAGAAAATCCTAAACATCATCAAATCAGGCAATAAATACATTTGAGCTAAATCACAACACTCTAGAGCTTGGAATATAAAATATCATTTCACAATTACAGATAGCCTTTAAAAAATGTTAATGATTAAACAAGCATATATATCAACTCCAGATTTTTTTTCTCTAACAACATGCAAAGAATGAAAATTAAGGGGAATGAAGAGTACAGGTAATTAAACAAAAAGATTAGAATTATTACACTCCAAGGAGGAAAGGCCAAACTTCTGACCTAATGCTTGGATCAATTCCCTGAAGAAAAAGGTAAAAAAATTATCAATCAAGCCGAAACCATGATAAAAATACACGGCTATATTAATAGAAGTAACTATGATTTTAAGAACTAAATCGGACATGATGTTTCAGTCAGTTAAATAGTGAATTGGTCTTCCAGTTCAGTTAATTCCCAAAACAGTTTTAGCATATAGCCGGCTAGAACTAGTCAGAACCAATGGTTGAACTGCAGACTAGGTTAATTGGTCGGGTTTTTTATGAATTATCCAGTTCTAATTTTGAAAATTTTATAGAATAGTACTTCTGATCATATGGCTATATACACTATGAAATGAGTATTTTATAAATATGATAGGAGAGGTTTGTGAAATTTCTTCTTATTTTAGTTGTCATTGGCATTCCAATGTAGCCAACAATCCTTTCAAGCATTTATATAAGTGCTCCTAATAATTTTGCAAAAAATTGTATAAACATGTAACCATATATAACCATAGTCCAAATAATTAATATATCATGTCCTTAAATTATGATTTAGAACCATATTCAAAATATTCAATAAGACAAGTGCTTATAATACTATATTGAATTGGAGAAAATATCATCATTTCATCATTATTACATCATTCAAGTCCTATTAAAAAAAATTTAATATTTATTATGTCATCCGTTCAACCCTTGGATTAACCTTTAATTGAACATTTGAACCTTAAACTCCTTATGGTTTAATATCCCATCTGATATTCAAAAGCTCAGAAGTAATACAATAAGCTGGTATAAAACTTCTAGAAGCATATAAAGGTCATAGATTAAAAGTGCTTACTCTACTTCTAGCTTTTCTCAAAAACTTGATGCCACCATCACGAAGTTTCCCATCTGGTGTGAAAAGACTATTCCAATAATGACGAGAAAACCCTCCTTTACCTTTTGCATGAGACCATGGTGCTTTAAAACTACGTCTGAAAAGAAAGAAAAAAAAAAATACTCACCAGCATTGATTTATGTCAAACTAGTCATAATTGACCGTGGGGATTGATCACAAAATGTTTGAAATTGTTCGGTTCAGACAAGCAAAACCCAAAAAGAAAAAGACCACATAAATAGATAACTTTCAACCTATGATGGATAATCAAATAAATCGTAGAGATCTAGCAATCAGAGAAAAAAAAAATCTAGCAACTTATATATTTTTATGTCTAGTATAGGAAAAACTGAATGAAAGAATAATGACGTATTGAATTGCTATGAAAAGTTACCATAACATATAAATTTTTATGTAGATTTATTAAATTACTGTATCCATGAAAAGCTACAACTCAAGCATAAAACTTAGGGGAAAAAAACTTTTAAAGTCAGGTTATTAGAAAGAAAAGTGTAAGGTAAGTGGCTAAAAATAACAAGGATGTCAAGTTAACAAAACACAGAGAAAAACCATAGCTACAAGTGATATCTCATAAGAGTGACACCAGCCATTTGAAAATTAGAATCACAAAAGAAATACGAGATCGCTTGGATAGAATATCATATTCAATTGAAAGAGGAATGAAAGAGAACAACTCTCGTTAGGAAAAAAGATAAACAGCACAACACAAGCATAGATGGGCTATAATCTAAGTAGAAGATTTGGAAAGAAAAAGGAATGCCCGACCAAAGCAAGGGAAAAGTCTCGGTATCCGTTAGCTGGAGAACAGTTGGTTTTCTTGTGATTGATCACCAAGGCGTAATGCTACGATAGCAAGCAGCACACCGAAAGGACAATAAATTCAATAGCGAAAATAAACTCACCGATCTGGAACAGGGGAAGAAGCGAAAACGAGAAGAGATCTCAAATGGATCCAGGATAACGCAGGAGACGACGAGGATGGCCGGTTCGAGGTAGAGGTATTGGATCGTCTCAGAGCTTTCATCTACTGTCTCAGTACCCTCTCCCCCCACTTCGTCGAGAAGAAGCGAAGTTTGCTTGTCAGACTCCGCCTTCTCTTTTGAGCTAATCTAAGACGAAACCAAGAAGCCGGCTGTGAATGTGTTCCCGGAAACCTTCTTCCCTCTGACTCCCCCGCCGATCAAGAGCTCCAACCAGTTCAACACCACTGCAAACCCCTGAAACTCAGAGAGCTCTTCTCCTACAGAACCGGTGGTCCCTATAGCCGGCGACTTTGCCGGCGCCTCTTTCTCTGAATTTCTTCTACTCTGTCTCTAGTTGAAGTAAATATTTGGAGAGAATTTAAACCTTGCCATCCATTTATGAAAAGGATAATACAAGTAAAGAAGGAAGCGGTCTCAGAATCCCTGGCATGTGGCAGAAATTGCAGATGTAGACTCAGTCCAAAATTAAGAGCAGTGGAAGAAGGAGCACGGGAAGGGCGATATCCAAATTAACTGCTTACTGCCAGAAGGAGTTGACGACTAGATTTTACTACAAGAGTCATAATATGATCAATATTGTAAATTACATTAATAATATATACATTATTCAAAACAATCTCTGATTATTTTTTAATACATTATAAAAATATATATATTTACCAACATAACGCTTAAATTCTTAAATTTATATATCTCACACCAAAAATTTATAAATTTATGTATATAGCATCTAGGTTTGCTCTGCTAATGGACTTGTCGAAATTTACTGAATCTTTGTATTTTAGCGAGTATATTGAACTCAATAAAATTTACTATAGAACTAGCTTCAAAATATTATCATGAATATTTCATATAAATAGTTTTGCAAATTGTGATTGATGTTATGTTATGTATGTCGTGTTTCGGCCTGGGGCTTGAAATTAATCAAAGTGAATACATACGGTTGGGTGGTGTGAATTAAATTTTCTATAGTCGTCAATTCTTTTAACAGATAAAAGCGCCACTAATAATTTAAATTAAAGCAATATAATTTAAAATACCTTGTTAATGGTTATATGTGTATTCTATAAATATTTTCTAGTCTATGTTCACTTTTTACTAATTTAATTAAACTTGAAAAGTCAATTAAAACAACGACTAGCTAAAGGATTCAGTGAATACACATACTTCTAAATTACATCAATCCAACAAAAAAAAAGAACAATATGCATGCCAATTAAACTTCTTTATAAAAAGATATAAGCATGTCACTATATCATTATCATATCAATATCATTTCATATTTATACAACTATCATAGGATGCACCGTCTAAAATTGTATCACTTAAGACACTCCGATATCAATATCTTTTTTCCATTACTTGCACAAGTACATTAGTGTTCCCCCACTAGTACTATCAAGGGATGATCCATCATAGCCATATATGAACATACAAACATATTATAAATCATTTCGTTTGCATTCTAAATATCATCCAATATCTTTCTTTTATAACATGCATATAAAAGAAACAAAGGGTGGGCGGACTAGAGATAGTGTTCGAGTCATCCAAATTAATGTTGCTCCATCGTGAGAAGTGCACCCCACAGATGCGATGGTCCTTGCCCCTGCACTGATTCATGTATGGATAGCTCAACAACCTCTCCAAAAGGTCACAAAAGCATGGGGATATGATACACCAAAATAACATATTGTTTTAAGTATACATTTTATGCTTATTTTGGTGATATTACACTTTAAAGAAATGTATTTTCATGTTTTTGTTGCAAGTATATCAAGTATATCAATTTGTTTTTGTTGCAAGTATATCAATTTTAGGCATTTGGAAAAAAATTAGCAAAAATGATGAATTTTTGAGCAAAAAAAGCAAATTTTGTGAATTCTGGAGCCTGATACGCCAGATTGGCGCCAGAAACGTCATTTTAAAGAGAGCTGACATCTGATGTGCCGGATTGGCGCCAAAAGCGCCATTTGATGGAGAGTTGGTGCTAGATGCACCAGATTTGGCGCTTGAAGCGCCAAAACCTAGAACAACGCGGTCTTAAGCAAGTTGGCAGCAGATGCGCCAGAACCAGCGCCAAAGATGACTTTTTGTGGATTAAGGAGGTTCAGAATGAATTTTACGCAAATTTCAAAAGTGACATTTGTTCTAAACACCCCTTCGAGTGATTCAATACATCTAGACACTTTGGAAGGTTCTTTTATGAATGGATATGTCTTTTGAATCAATGGGCATGTCATTTGAATTCAAAAGTGTTGACTTTTGGAGAGAATTTAAGAGAAAATTTTGAATTCTATTTGGAGGGAGACAACCTTTAATAAAAGAGAGTTTTTGGAGAGAAAAGTGGGTGGTGTGTGAAAGGGGCGAACAAGACAGAGAGAGAGAGAGAGAGAGAAAGTCAAGGGCTTGGAAAATTTTCAAGGATTGTAAGAGGAGAGAGAATGTGAAAGATTTTTTTTCATTAAATTTCTAAGAGAGAATTGAGAGTACTTGTAAAGAAAGAAAGACATGAAGAGAACTTCTAGGGATTTTCTTGGGAATGATTATGAGATAGATTGTGTCTTTTATTTCTTTTGTTTTGTAAACTTGTTTTTATACATGAAATTTGTGTTTTTTTGTATCCTTCTCATGAATTCTGAGTAGTCTTCTTTATCCTTCTCCCTACTTTAAGATATGATTTTGTGAAGAATTAATTTTATTTTATATGGTTTTAAATGACAATAATTTGTGATGATTTGAACTTCGATCTTTATCTACTTTTCGATCTGACCAATTGAATTATTAAAATGTGTTGAGAAACATGTGTTCTGAAAGGGCTATGATTTCTACAACATAAAGAGAATCACATTTGATTTCATGGGAGACGATGTCATCCATGGAGTTGAGTGCAAATAAATAGGGAAATATACTTTGTTGGATGCAAAATTGGAGATTTTAAGGTGACAAATTAAAATCCCCAATTTGGTTCAGTTGATTAGAAACTGATGCGAGATTGTTAGCCCTCAGGTGAGGGAGTAGTGGGAGCTGTAAAGAATAAGATTGCTCCTATTTAGCACAAAATAATTTATATATATTTTTTTCAAATGATTTTAATTTCTTCACAATCCATATACTCATTGTAAAGGGGATGGATGCTTTCACAATCCATATACTCATTTTATTTAACATTCATTCTATTACTTTATATTTGAATTTAGCACTTCAATTTTGTAGTTTAAAATTGAAGTTTACATTATAATATTAAGAATTTACTCATAAGCATTTCCAACTTCCATGTGGGATTGATATCTAGGACTCTATTAGAGCCCTTTATTACTTGAGCAATACACATACTTGGTTTATATTTAGGAGATTTGGCAGTTTAAAGATTTTTAAAAGATAAAATTATTTTTATTAAAGTTATTTTTTTTTATTAATTTGCATATTTACTGTTGTATCTGTTGTGTGTATTTTGTAATATTGAAAAATATTTACAAAATTAACACACTAAATTCACCCGCATCAGGATACAACTGTCTTTCTTTTGGTCAGTGAGACTAGCCAGACTACTGTCCAAGCGCTTCTTGGTGAGAGCCTCCGATCATCTAAAGTTAAGCAGGTCCTTAATATGAAAAAACCCATCCTTTTTTGATTGAGTAGATTTGTTATTTTTTTGGACAATTGATTACTCCTGTAGATGAGACTGTGTATATCATTGACTCATCAATGACAAGGGTGGGTTGTTCCCTATTTCTAGAGGCGATCAAGGGACTATCAGCTCCGACTCATAGAGGAGGCGCATCCAACCGTGTATCCAGTCCTGAGAATGTCGAGAGGGAGATTGATGGTTGACAAAGATCACCAGTGTCACTGACTTGCTGGATGAAAAAATGGTGGACTCCTTCACCTGGGTAGCCGGCCTATAGGAAGGGTTTCCATGAATGACATGAAGGAAGAACTGACAGCTCTTTACTAGGAATACATGGTTGATTTGATAGCTCTCTTGGTGGACAAGATGATTCTTTAGATAGAGCTAACAAAGGCCTAGATGGCTTGTTTGATCTCTTAGGTTTGGGCAGAGGAAGAGATTGTTGAAAGCTTTATGTTTTGGGAAGGTAAGGGGGAGTCCTATATCAAAGTCTGGTGAGTCAGGGTCTTGTATTGGCCTAGGTGGGCCAAAATTCTAGTGCAAAATATTTCCTATCTTGAAAAAATAAAAAATTAATTTCATAAATTTTTTAAACTCTATGTCATTTACTTTTCTCAAACTTTTCATTGATTTGATGTAATATTTTGGAGCTCGAGGTACAGATTTAAGCATTTAGAATTCTATAAATACCTTACATATAAGGATTAGGGTAAGAACATGTGTTTGCACTTTTCAAATCACCCTTTTTGTTCCATTCAGTCATTTCCTGTCGCTCATTTGGGTCAATTTACTTTAATAAATTCCCTTAGCTTCCATGTATTCCCCTCAATTTTTTAGGTCAATACCAGTGAACAAGAGGATTTCCCTAACGTCATTCGAAGAAGAGCTTCTTGAAGATACCTACATATACAACACAAGTATAATAATAAAGGCAATGAAGCCTGAGGTGAGGGTGACCTATGACTTCATTGAAGATCAAATCTTCTACTGAGACTAGTTTAGTGGGAGCTTCGACTACCCTTCTATCATGAGATCCTATCGATTCTCAATCATTACAAAGTTGAACACTGTGATTTAGTGCCATGAATTTTGAGTTGTGAACCGCTTCAAATAAGGTGGAGGAGAAGAGAAAATTTGAGAAGATTTCTTAGCTTTCTTAGAAGAGCCAACAAAAAAGAAGTGTCATTTTTAAAGCCAGGAGGGAAGAGGTTTATGAAGAGGACAACCAGACAGTTGGGGTTGTCCCAGGTTCATAATTGATTCACACTATTTTTGAAGTAATTATTATCATTTAAAATATTATCACTAGGGAATTAATACTGATTGAATGAAAACCATCTTTAATGAAATTAGAGACTTTGAGGGAGTGCCACTAAGAGGAGAAGAAGACACCCAACATTATTGAAATAAAATAGTAAGGGGTCATCAGAGTGATCATTGATTTACTCAGAGAATTCCTCGTCCTTCTTCCTCAGTATTCATCCCACTAGCTGAAAGAGGGGAGATCTGCCGACTTTCATCTTGGTCACCAGTGGAATCAATGGACCAGGTGAAAGTGGAGAACTTGGAAGAAAGCTTGGAAGCAGAAAATGAGGCTGAGCCGAAGTCTGCTCTAGAGAGTGGGTTGGCCTTTTCCAAAGAAGAAGAGTATCGAAGGAAGGGTAAGGTTTCAGTTGAAGATTCTGACTCCTCCCTCCCTTTAACTTCAAAGATGAAACAAAAGAGAGGCAATAAAAGGTTATTGGAGCGTCGACACTATTTTGGTTGTGGAGTTGCCCATTGGAAGCTGTCGGTCGCCGGAATCAAAGTTCCATCGCCCGCTTCGGAAAGACATTTAATTTACATATAAATATATAAGTTCAAAAAAAATATGAAATCAAACT